TTTTTTTTTTTTTTTTTTTTTTTTTTCTATTCTTATTGCCGGTATTATTATCGTTGATAAGAGAATTATTATTATTATTACTATTACCTCTCCACGTGAAACAGACTAGTGCCAGTGGAAAGGTCGTCCGCTGTAATCATTATAGGGAAATAGGAGAATCAAAAAGGGGAAAAAAGGGAAAAAATAAAAAAAAAAGGATAAAGACTACTTCACACAATACCTTTAAGAGAGTTTTAAAGGGACGCGTGGCGTTATTACTATTATCATTATTTATTTTTTTATTTTTTAATAAACCCCAAGGATATCTTCTCTTTTTTGTTTTTTTTTTCATTTGTGGAATTTTTTTTTTTCATATTTGTGTGGTTTGGCCCGTTATTCTTCTTAATCGTGGCACTTCTGTAAAAAAAAAATAAAAAAGAAGAAGAATAAAAAATGTTGGGTTTACTTATCGCTTGCGGAGACAGTACTGTTGAAAGTAATGAATACGGCGAGTTGAACTCATTACGGCTGCTCTCGCGACTCTTGAATGAGACTTCAGAGGAGGAGAAACCACAGCAGCAATCTCAAGAAGAAGAAAAAGAAAAAAAAGAAGAAAAGGAGTTAAATGTTGAAAGAGTGCCGGTAGCAGTATCACTAATATGTGAGGCTGTGATCGAGCAGACCGAACCGCAGTTGAACAATATAGAAGGTCCTTCTTCTTATTTATCTTCTCCTGCCACTCATATCGTTGCTAATAGTGGTAGTGATAGTGATAGTGCCGTTCCACCTGTAGTTTCTCAGTTGACGGCACCGCAGACGGAAGTGAAGTCGTCTAAAAATGTACTGGAGTTTCTGACGACGACGTGTAGTGATGATGAGTGTAATAAATTTCCCACACTGCAGTTTCTTGGCAAGATGCTGCACAGCAATACAGCGATAGTTCCTCCTTCTGCTAATAGTACGGTTACTGTTATTAGTCCCTGTTCTTCTTCTTGTGCATCTGTGGAGATGGACCCGCCAGTCCTCGAGCATACGATGCGGGCCACCGCCCCCAAATGGTCTTCCCCTATTTGTAGACGCACTAACACTACTTCTACTTCTATTACTCCTACTCCTACTATTACTCAGACCGTTACTAATACTACTACTGTTAATCCTACGAATAGTACAAGCGATCCAGTCTTTTACGATGCGATGTCCACAACAATAGGGGATACAAGACGCACACCGCAAGTATACCCAACTAGACCGGTCTCTGCCCCTGGCGGTGATTCGTTGAGTGCGCGTGTCTCGTATGCTGCACGATACTTGGAGCGTCTGCACTTCCGCAGTCCCATCATTGTGCAGCCCTCGTCCTCTCATCAATCATTGGAAGATGATGAGAGTGTGGAGATGTCAAATTTTATGCGTTGTTATCGTAATCTCGCAGAGTTACCACCCAAACACCCACTCATGCGTGGTGGTAGTAGGATGGCTAGACCAACAAGAAGAAAATCAGCAACAGGAATGCATGGAAGAGAAGAATTATTTGATTCTGGTTCACTTTACTTTGGTAATAGTACTACTAGTTCTTCTAATAATAAAAAGATGCAGGTAAATAATCAACTATACACGCATGTTTCTGGTACAACATCACGTACTTCCTCACTCCCTGTCAAAGAGAGTCCTTATAGACCTCGCAGAGGTCATGTAAAAAATATGTGGGATATACGTCGAAAAGTAGTGCAACCACAACAAAACCACGAACAACGAAGGGATCAACCAACTTATTTATATCCCGGTAACAGACAACAAAAACAAGAACCTTTTAACAGTAATAATCCCTTTTCATCTTTAATGATAGAAGGTAGAGCGATGCCAATTCCATCGCGAGCTCCACCTACTGTTCTCGTAAGACATCTCCGTCGTGGAAGAGTTTTTGCGGGATAATTGAAAAGGAATATACAATAGAGATGAATTTATATGTTATCGCCTTGTTAGTAGTGTCTTTACGAGACCACTAATTATTTCTCAGAAGTCTCTTTTTTCTCCTTCAAAAAAAAAAATATATTTTTATATATTAGTTTTGATTTCACTTCACACTTGCACTTTTCTTCCTTTTTTTCCTTATGACTAGTTCATCACCACCACCATACTGAGAGAGAGAAAGACGGGGAGAGTGAGGCATATACACACACACACACATAAACACAACGAAAGAGAGAACAGAGACAACGATAACAAGAATAGATCCATAAGCAAATTAAATTAAAAAAAAAAAAAGGAAAACGAACAAAAAAAAATTAGGTGTGATTGATAATGGGAGGTGAAAACTATGTGGAGGGTGACCTCGGTGCTGTCTTCAATCAAGCGGAGCCACTGACACTGCCGGTCGTTGTGCAGCTCTTGCGTGGGCGGCGGGACACTGGCGACGACACGGACGCGGAGAACCCCGCGATGGCCCTCATTGAGCGCACGCGCGGGCAGGTGGAGATGATGCAGGAGACGTGCGCCGACGAGCACAGCGTGCGGCGGGTGCTGCGCATGCGGCTGCGGCTGCGCGACGAGGGCGAGACGGGCTTCGCGAACGCCCACTTGGCGAACTTCGTGCTGGACGCGGAGGGGAACGTGACGGGCGTGCGGGGGCCGGCGGGCGAAAACGGCGACGAGGCCCTCCGGACGGCGCGGCTGCGGCCCTTCGAGGTGGTGGCGCTGGCGACGCTGCGGCCAAAGACGGTGGAGGAGGCGCTCGTGCTGCTGCCGTCCCTCTCGCGCTACGACCTCAGTGATCTGAATCTCGCCCTGAATACACTGGAGTCCATCTGAGGTGGAGAAGGAATTGCCCTTCTATGACCTCCTTGTTATTATGATTGTTATTGTTATTATTATTATTATTATTATTACTCCGTTTTGTCAGTTGTCACGTATTTTTAACCGACACAAGGCACTTGCGAGGGAAGTGCAGTGCTCTTTTCTCTCTTTTTGTTTTTTTTTCTTCTTGTGTTTCACGTACTGGTTGATGCTATATGATACCCGTTGTTGGGGTAATACCGGAACGAAAGTAATAAATAAATAAACAAATAAAGAGAAAAAGACAAACCTCTCTTACATTTATTATTATTATTTTTTTTTTATTGCTCTCTCGTTGAGTCTCGGTTCTTTTTTTTTTTTCCTCTTGTTGCTCTTCTTCTACTACTTGGGGAAGTTGGTGTGTGTGGGGGAATACCACGTGCAGAACGGAGGTATATTTATCCCTTGATAACTACGTAGGGACCTCAACACAATTTTTTGAAGGGGTTATCAATGTTATTAGAGAAGGAATTGAAGGAGCGAAAACCATGTAGCGGCGTAAAATCAGATATTCCTGTAAAGAAACGTGGCAAACGCATTGTAGTTTTATTATTTCTTATTTTTTGCTGCATCTCTTTGATTGCATCTGTAGCGATATTTGATGAAAGTAGTAATAATAATAGTGTTGAGATTCCGATGATGTCTGTACAGTCACAGTCTCAAGTTAAACAAAAAGAAGAGATATTCAACGATAAGGCAATACAGGAGGAAAAAAGACTTTGGGACCGTGAATTACAACAGGAACAAATTTTACAGTCACGATTTGCAGGACTTTTTATTGGAACTGCCATGTTTAACGAATCTCTTCGAACTCAGTTAGAGGATATTCCGCAATGCCGTGTCCTTGGCAAACCATTTCTAGATTACTTACATAAATATCTGTTATTTCATTACTATACACCTTTTAAGGAAGACAACGCGTCACGTCTTATTTACTCATGTGAAAGTCACAAAAAAGGTCATCTTTGCGGTGGTATGGGCGATCGTTTTCGTGGAATTATTACGGCATTTTGGTTGGCACTTCTTTCACGTCGTCGATTTGAACTCTATCATCCCACTCCTGTTCCATTTCAGAAGTTTATGCCACCTTATTTGGTAAATTACATTCCTTCTTTGCGTAACAACGCCTCAAGAAGGCAAGGGATCATTCCAGATGAACAATCTCCTAAGAAATATCGAGAATCACTTTCTACTTTAATAACGGCCGCTCCTATAAACTTTCATTTAATGAGAATTGAACGGCATAAAACTTATGTTTTACATCAGAAGAATGCCAATAATTGGAAATTAGAACGACCCGTTTATGGGAGTAATGAGTGGTGGCGACCGCGTTATGTTGTAGAAGATATTCGAATACAAAGTAATTCTGCTGGTATTGATGGATACTTGTACAAGGATCATGAATTATATGAATTAAAAAAGCGAATACTAGGACTTGAAGAATGTAATATTTCTTGTTATTATGGTTGTTTAAGTCATATTCTTTTTCAACCTGATGATCGTATTTGGGATGCGGCGGTACAAGTTCTTCGTGAATCTAAGGATAAAAACTTATTAGCCTCTCTTTCTTCAGGTCGAAAAGTTAAAGCTGGAGAAGTGTTACCTTTTGTTAGTTTACAGGTGAGAATGGGTGGTTCTTGGGCTACTGGTTTACATGTTCCCGAGTCGGTTCGAACATTCCCATGGTCATTGCCCCATTACTTCGCTATGACTCGTGAAGTGGTGAGTGGAGAGGCATGGCGTCGTCGTCCAGATCTTTTTCCATCTAACTACCAACTTGCGAATACATTTCGACAGAATAATTCTGTTGTACTTTTTGTATCTTCGGATTCAGCAAAATTTGTGGAGGAGGCAAAACGTTTACTAGGTGACAACCATAGTGTACGCATTCTTTCTATATCTGGAGATTCCTTTCAACACACGGATACATTAAATCTTGCAGATCTACGCGGTCAAAAGAGTGATGCAACGGCAGAGGATGCAAGGAGTCGTGCATACTTTTTAACTCTTTTAAATCATTATTTACTTAGTATTGCCTCTCACTCCATCATATCCCAATCTGGATTTAGTGACACCGCATTCTGGCGCAGCCGTCAAGTAGCGAGCGCTATTTTTATTGAAGTACAACGTCAAGAGGCATGGCAGCATCATCTGCGATATAGAGATATTCATAATAGTACCATAGGGGGAAGTGTAAAGAGCAGCAGCGGCAGCAGCAGCAGAGAGACAACGCCTGTCAGTAGACTTGTTTTACACTCTGCTGAAGTTGTGAGTAGCCGTATTTTGCATGATCTTCGCGCCCCACCGACACCATTCTACTCGTAAGATGTTTTGAGTAAAAAAAAAAAAAGTAGTGCTGTTTGTTTGTTGATCTGTTTCTTTGTATGGGTGGGTCTGTGTAACGGATATAGATAGAGGGCAATTTCTCTATTATTCTTATTCTGGAATACATTCACTATATATTTTGCATGACATGGATATGCTTCTTGTTATGTATATTTTTTGCTGTTTTTTTTTTTCTTCTTTTCGTTGCGTACACAGAGAGTACCTGTTTCGTTGTTCACTCTTGCTTTTTTTTTTTTCTGTTCTTCTTTTTATTGTTTCATTGCTTCACAGACAAACATGTGGAAACATATATATATATATTTCTTTAACTATTACTTGGTTTTATTATTATGATTATCAATCCTGGCCTATCCACTAAATATTATTATTATTATTATTATTATTATTATTATTTTTATTTTTATTTTTATTTTTATTTTTTGTTTTGCATCTTTTCATCTCTATTTCCTTCTTTCTTTTAACTTTTTTTTAAAGGGTGGTGCAGGGGATTAGCTTTAGGTGTATATATATATATTACATATATATATAATTTTCCCTGCTGTTAGGTGTGGGGGTAACTGTTAGTTAGAAGGGAAGGAAAAATAAAAAAGAAATAAAAAATGACTACTTTCAAACGGGAAGACCTCTGTCGTGTTTTTTTTAGTGATTTGTCTGAGCAGTGTGATGAGGATCTTATCTATGAACTCTGCATGCAGTTTGGCCCTGTGGCGAATATCACTTGGCCGACGACTGGCAATCTTGGCGGTGGGGGCGCGCAGCACATGACCTTCTGCTTTGTGGACTTCCGCAATGCGGAGGACGCCAAGTACTGTTACGAGGCCCTCCACCGCAGTCGCGTGAAGATGTTCGGCAAGGAACTGCGGGTCTCCCACGCGAGCACCGACATTCCCGCGCGCGAGAGCGGCGGCCGGGCTGCAAACAACCGCCACGCGGTGCACGAGCTGCACGAGATTGGCGCGAAGGTTGTCGTCCGCGGCGTGGACCCCGCCGTGACGGAGTACGAACTGACGACGTTCTTCGAGCAGTTCGGGAAGTTCGCCGTGCCGCCGCGGATGCTGCGCGACTTCGACGGCAACTTCCGCGGCGTCGTGGTGCTCTCGTACGACGACTTCGCCTCCAGCGACCGCGTGATCGACGAGATGCACCACAAAGTCTACCGCGACCGCCCGATCGCCGTGCAGTACGCCGAAATGGCAGACGGCAGCGGGCGGCGGCACGGCGGCGCGGCGGAGCGCGAGAACGCGGCGATTTTCCGCGAGGAGGCGCGGCGGCATGCGGAGCGCATCGCAGAGGAACGCGCCGCGGCCGAACGGCAACGGACTCGACGACGGCAGGAGAACGTCGCATGGGCCGCAGGCATCGATCCACACACGCGCGGGCACAGACAATGATAATAACAGAATGATGATACTTACACACACACATACAGAGACATGCACGCAGAAGGAGAGAAGTTCGTAAAGAAAAACAAAAAAAGAGAGAAGAAAAATACAACCAGTGTACTATCAGCCAATTGGACCATTTGTCTACCTTCATTCCTATCCATATATATATAAAGTACGTACTTTTCTTTTTCTTGTAGGGCATTTCGCTCGCTTGTCAGCTTGCTAGTGTGTTTGCTCGTTTGTTCTCCACATGAGTGGTGTCTCTATCTCTCTCTCTCTTTTTCTTTTTATCTGATTTTTATTTTTATTTTTTTTATTTTCTCCTGTAAGGTACACTGTTTTTGTGAAGCTTTTTTTTTGTGTTTTGGTCTTTCCACACACATACAGTTTGTGTCTGTGTGAAAGGTGAGGAAAACAAGAACAACATAGAAAATACACATAGAAGAAAACAATAAAAGAACACAAAAAAGATATATAAATATATAAAGAGAGAAGGGAACTTCAATGCCTCGTCCAAATGAGATGCAGCTCTCAGCTGCACGGGAGGATCGACTTCAACGGGCACTGCATGAAAATCACCGACTCAAACGTGAGGTCTTGGAACTGCAAGACAAACTCAAACTCGTACAAGTGAAGTTTCACAAAGTGACAAGGGACCTTAAACGAGTCTCACCGGAGGTACTGCAGGAGTTGGAGAATGTTACTACTCAACCTTCTCTTCCTCACACACTGCCGCCTCCTTCTACACTACACAGTACGAGACCTCACTCCTCTAGCGGCGCCCTCCCACAAGGGAAACGTACCTCAGGGGAAGCTACTTCCGGCAAACGACTGTTATCAACATCATTGCCTCCATTAACAGCCTTTGAGGGCGGTTCTGCACCTTCTGCAGCAGACGTGGAGGAGTTGCAACGCTGTCGTGAGGCCTTACAGCGGGCGCAAATGGAAATTGCATCATTACGTGCTGCGGCACAGACAGTGGCCGTCACTTCATCATCGGCATCACCAGCAGTGACATTGGTATTAGATCAACTACGGCAGGACCTTGAACGTGTGGTGACAGAGAGAGATCGGTTAAATAGAGAGTGTGATACTCTTCGAGAGCAGTTAGGTCGAACACAAGCTGAGTTAAACAATGTTCGTTATTCTCATGAACAACAACGTTCTTTTGAGAAACAGTCCTATGATGTTCTTAGTGAGAAGGCTAAAACTGTGGAGGGTGCGAGGATACAATCAGAAATAGAATATCAAAAAATAATTGACGCTCTTACACAAGAGAAGGATGCGCTTGCATTAAAACTACGTCTCATGCTACAAGAAGAAGCAGGAAGACAACATGATTTAGCTCTAGTAGATCCTGTAGGACTCATTCAATTACAAAGTGATATTCAAGACAAGTCTAAGCAAATTACAATTTTGACAAGCCGTATGCAAGGGGCTCAACAACAAGTAGAGACTCTGAAAGGAGAATGTAACCGTCTAGTAGAGGAACTTCAACGTTTTCACTCTGTCTTGGCAGAAACAAAACGACAGTTATTTGAAGTGGAACATGAAAAAAGCATATTACAAGTTCGTTGTGCAAGAATGGAAGAACTTGAAGAGGCATTTAAACGCAAGAGTGAAGAAATTATTCGTCTAGAACAAGAACTTCTTCGAACAGCTGGAACTCTTCAGAGTTGTAATCGTGAAACAGAAGAAGCGGTACGACGAGAACTTTCCACTCGTATTGTTGATCTTCAAGAGATGCGAGATAGTGCAGAGTCTAGACGACGTGAAAAAGAGTCTCAGTTACTTGAAGCGCAGCATCAACTTGCAGAGTTGCGACGACAATTAGAGGTTGCACGTGGAGATGCACAGATGTACCGTGAACAATTACAGAAAGCAGAAAAGGAACGTATGGAATTGTCAAGACATGCGGCATTAGCAGGCCATACAGTGGAAGAGTTTGGTGAAGAAGATGTACACCGCGCCCTCGCCGTCGCCGCCGTGCGTAAAGCAGCGAGAGGAACAGGCACAACACGAACAAAGACATTAACAACAACATCAACAACAGCAACAGAAGGAGCACGAGGAAAAGGTATAGATGAAGTGGCCAATAGACAATCCGAAGAAGCCCAAGAGACACTGGATATGTGGGAAGCACTACAGTGGGATGAGGGTTGGGAGGCGGATCAGCTACGGGAAGCACTCGCAAGTGCGGCACTGGATATGGAGCTCGCAAGTACACGATGTGCACAAATGAGTGAACAGATAGAACATGGACGGAAACTTCAACAAGAATTAGCAAAAGAACGTGATACATTATTAGAAGAAAATATAGAAATGCGTCGACGACTGACACATGTGCAAACAGTCTTTGCTAAACAACAACTAGAGGCATATAGAGTGGCAAAATTACGTGGAAGTGAAGAAGGTAGTATAAAGAATGCTGGTCTTATTACATTTAATATTCGTGATTTAGAGTGTGATGCAGGTCTTTTACGTGCTCTTGGTATTAGTGATCCTAATGGTGCTGCTGTTGCATTATTTTTCTCATTGGATGGATTAAAATCATATGATACAATGCTTTCACCGACATTTTATTCTCTGGATGAGCCACTAGATATTACATTCCGTTATGACCATATGGAACGAGATGAGATTACTCTTTCTGATATTCGCAATACAACATTTATCTTTCAACTTCATCAAGTTCATGGGGCAACCAATACTGTTATAGCTATGGCAGAATTACCTGGTGTGGCATTACTTTCATGTCGTGAATTAACAGTATCGGAACGAATTGTAATGTTAAGTGGTAATGGAGAACCATCAGGTGCCATATCTATTGAGATGTGTGCATCTAATTTAATGCTTCCAATTCTACTCAATAGACCACTTTTATCAGAGACCAATGAAAACAAGATTAGTAGTGGTAATGACAATACGGATATGTTCTTAACCTCAGAGGCATTACGTGCGGCATTAATATCTCTCCGTAGTGTAGTGGCATTACGAGTGCAGGTATTTCGTGCTGACGGATTATTGGCTCCACCCACACCGCAGCCGTATGTTTTCTACACAGCATCTGCGCCAAGCGGGCTTAGTTGCGTTCGTGACACCGTTGTACGTACATCTACGAAAGCTTTTACCACAGATCCTGTCTTTGATGTTGACCCTGTGGATCACCGCCTGGTGGTGGATCGTGAACTTGTACAGTTTGTAGCCGAGGGTGTTATTGTGTTTGTTGTGTTTGATGAACAGGCGAAGGAGGTGCGGGCAAATTTGGGTGTGGTTGAGGTGCCGCTGCGTCCGTTGTTGGCCTCACCGCAGGCGGTGGTGCGCACAACAGAAGTGCTGCACCCGCAAGGCACGTTGAGCGTTGGTCTCTCGTGGGTTTGCAGGGCATAGAAGAAGAAAAAAAAAAAAGCACAGTAAACTCACTAGAAGATAATATAGTGTGTTTATTTGCGTAATTTTTTTATCTGCTGTAAATGCAGCATGACATACATGAAGTGGTGAATGTGGGGGAAAAGAGAAAAAAAAAAAAAAAAAAAAAAAGAAAAAAAAAGGATGAACAGCGAAAAAAAAAAATAAACATATATATATATATATATATATATATATATGGGTTTTTTATGTATTTTTTTTTTCCTTATATACTCACCTTGTTTTTTTCTTCTTCTTTCTTCTTCTTTATCTTTTTCTGTTTCTTGTGTTTTTATTTCATTTTTTTCTCTTTCAGAGTATAGCTATAGAGAAAGAAGGCTGTGGTGGTTGACGGCATGCTGTTCTTCACCCGCCGCCTTCTCGCGGAGGTGACGACGATCAACAGCAGCACCGCCTCTGCCAGCGGCCGTCTCATTCGCATTCGCAAAAAGTCCAAGTGGATTGATCGCCGCAGCAAACGCATTCCCCACAACGGCAAGGACGTGTGGCTCTTTGGCGAGCAGCCGAGCTGCGCCCTCTGCCACGTCCGCTTCCGCTACAAACAGGACTACGAGGCCCATAAGGAGAGTGAACTCCACCAGAACCGGCAGCGGTGGGTGGAGACCACGCGGTGGTGGCGCGACGTCGGCGAGCCGCAGTGGCAGCAGAACGCCGCCGCCGAGTGGAGGGCATTTCAACAGAAACAAATCGCCGAGCCGCCCAGCGGCGGGCCGTGGCGGCGGGCAGTCATGCACGAAACCCCAAACTGGCACACACCACTGCAGCCGCCAAACGCGCGCGCGGAGATTCGAGAGCCGCGGGATCAGCGATGGCCGGCATCGCCAAAGTGGTAAGAGGAGGTTTGGGGGGAAAAAAGAGAGATGCATTCAGCACTGCGATGGGTTGTATTTCCTTTTTTTTTGTATTTGTGTGTATATGTGTCTCTGTGTAGTGGTGTGGGGTGTAGTTTGCGATTCTGATCTTGCCAATAGGAGTATGTGTGGTGTTTGTGTTTTTGCTGACGTAGCTCTCCCATTTTTTTTTTTTTATTATTCGCTGTTCTCACCATGTCGTGAGGAATTGTTGATTAGCACCTACCGTGTTTTTTTTTTTTTGTTTTATGATTGTTTCTTTTTTTTTTTTCTTTTGACGTCTCTCTTTTCCTAGGAGGAAGAAGTCTGGACTCAGTGCAGAGGTTTCTTCTTATTCAATAATTGCTCATTTTGTGAACAAGAGCAACAACATCAATAACAACAACAAGAAAACGAAGAGAGAGAGTGCAAAAGATTAGTGACTACTTCCCGAATGAGTTACTCTCTGCCGAGCATTGAGAGAGGCAAAAGAAGCAGTAACACTGGTTGGGGTAAGAATAATAATAACAACAGCAACAATAACAACAACAATAACCGCAGTAATGGTAAGAAATCCCCTATTGCCGCTACAACTGATGATGTGGAGACCGTAGAGGAGTTTCATCGAGAGATTCACCGGCGAACAGTACACCGTGTATGTAGTAGTACATATGAACATGAAGGATATCTTAAACTTCTCCGAAATGTACGAAAACAATTTTTAAACCGTCCAGAACCAGAAACATCAACTCGTCTCCCTCTCATTTCGAAAACTCCAATCCCCCCTCATACATGGGGAGGAAGACCATCCACACTATCACCATTAGCATCACAAGCAGCAGCAACAACAACGGCATCATTATCATCAGCAACAGCAAGAGAAACTCGTGTGGAGAATGAAGATAATAAAAAGAAGGGTAGAACTACCCCTTCCCTTTTCTCACGTGGTCTGCGTTTTAAGAAGGAAGGTAGTGAATTCATTTCCCGTGCTCATGAAGTACAAAGTCATCAGATCCCACTTGCAGTTCTGGAGGAAGTGGAGCGTCAGCACTTGATAGAAACAGAAGTCTGGGAGCGTCGTGTAATTCTTCAGATGATGGCTGTTAGTTATGTTACCTTTGTTTTGCGGGAAGAGTTGGAGGACCTTCAGAATTCTGAGCGTAGGAGTCGAGCTAATATTGTCTACGGAGAGGAAAAGGAACGTCATTGGATGATAAATGAATCTGAAATTGGTGTACAGCTTATTAAGTATAAGATTGCATTACGTGCCAAAGAGGATAAACGAAAGCGACTAGAAGAAGCAGATGCACTTTATCCATTAAAAGGCAATGATAACCGCAGTAAGGTTACTCCTCACCCACCACAACAAGAACCAGATGCGCGACTTATTTTGCAGCGTTATGTAAGATTGAAACACGCCACTGATATTGCCGCTCGACAAAATCAAATGGTTGAAGAACAGGAACCGCAACAATCAGATGAAGTGCAAACAGAGGAACATCAAACGGTTTCGCCTGGGCGTTGTCCGATGACTAGTCTTACATTGCGCACCAAACTGCGTAATACTATTGGTATCTCAGCCTATGTGGACCTCTTGGATAAAGATGCGGAAGATCGTAAGTTGATTGAACAATGTGAAGCAGAAGAATTTGAGGGTATTATGGCTCTTTTTCAGGAAGAGTACTCCGTTGTACAAGTTTGGCAGCATAAACGTATGCACTTGGAGCGTTTATTATATTGGCAAAAATTACGAGAGGAACGTCGAAAGCAAGTAAAGGAGGTAGTAGAAGCAGAAGTTATGAAAACTACTATAATATTCACAGATGAATTTGAAAGATGTATAGTATATGAAGATAAAGGACGCAGAGTTATTTCTGCAGAAGAAAATGCTTCTCGTGCTATTATACATAAAATGTATGAGGAGAGTACATTTTATGCAAAAATGGATTCCCTTATTGCTGAACATGAAGAGAGTTATAAAGCTTTCGTTGAAGATGAGGCAGTACTTCGCCAACTTTGGTTACAACGTTTAGAATTGGCACTACGTGTATCATTAATGCACGCATGGGAGTATGATGTAGAAACTAGAATCTTAAAAAAATTCTCACTACTACAATTTCTTACTGGACAAGATTCCAGATGTACTAATCAGATAGTTACTATTCAAAGAGCTTTTCGTCTCTGGAAAAATGGAAGACTTGGATGGCGTTTTACCCATAGAGAAGTTGGACGTATTATTCAATCTAATCGTGATGCAAAGAAAATTGAGCGTGGTATGAATTCATTAAATGCTTTTAAAGCTTCTCTTATGGCTGATTGTGCTGCTATCCAAAATGAAATATTGGCCATACATAAGGCAGAGATAAAAGATTTATGTGAAGAAGAGTTCCGACACCGTGTTATTGTTACTTCACAGGAGGAATGGGAGAAAACGAAATTATATCAGGCGGAGAGATCAGATATTCTTGAAAATATTATTTTGCCAAAAATAGAATACTGTCTTTCCAGTGAAATTGACCGCCGTCGAGAGTTGGACGTTGCGGAGGAGTTTGAACGTCTCCAAATGTGCGGAATATTTAAAAATCTTTTCTCTATAATGGCTAATAAGTGGGTATTGGAGGAGAAGGAGGAAACAATAGATCGTTATGCCATTGAAGAATCTGAACGGCAGTTATTTTTATGTATTCGTGGAGAAGAACTTGATGAGCGGGAGATTATTCGCATTACAGCTATGGAACGGGATGCGGCTCTCGCAGAGGAGCGTCAGTTTCTTGCAGACTCATTATTCTATCGTATGCGTATCCTTCAAGAATCACATGAGGCGAAAATATATCAATTCATGTGGAATTGCAAACAAGGTGCATTGGAAATCGAGGCATGTGATATACGTCCGCGTCAAACACTTTTCCAGAATTTCCTTACAGATGTGAGAGAATCTTTTATAGAGGAGGCCTTCCGCTTTAATGCAGAGTCTGCTGCTTTCTTCTTGGAGTACCACGACGATACCATTCAAACGGCTTGTCTTGCAATAATACCATTACAGGAGACGGTACGGCGTGATGCTGAGATGTCTGAGGAGCAGCAGGAGTGGGTGGCTCTTGTAAAGATGGCAAATGAGGAGGCGAGCGATCAATTACGATTGTTGCAGCGTCGAATGGCGGCGGCTACTCTCATTGCACAGTTTTATCGTCGTTATCGCCGCGGTGAGGTGGGACGATCTGGGCGGCGACAATATTTGCACGAACGTTATGCATTTAAGAAGGAACAAAAGGAGTTGCGAGAGATGCGGGAGGCGCAGCGGATGGTGGTGCAAGAGTGTAAAAATGCATTAGCGAAGGAAATACGACATGAGTGTGAGGCGAAACAACATTCCATTGGATTGATGTTGCAAGTGTTGGAGGAGAAGTCTGAGCCGTGGGCACGTGCAGAGATTGAGAAACTGGAACATATTGTCTACAATGTGATGTTGCGTAACTTTGCCTCCAACGCCACTGTGTGGGAACCGGATGCGGTGGCGGTACTCTGGCAGTTGGAGTCCTACGAGCGAGTTCGTATCATGCAGGAGTGGCAAAAGGAATTTGAGTGCGTTTTTGAACCAAAAAAGTCAACTTTTCTTTTGGATCTCATGGCATGTAAAGTGCAACGGCACTGGCGCCGCTATATTACACGCAAACACCAACTCGCTGCTCTGCGTGAGGCTCTACGGCAAGTTATTCAGCAAGAAGCAGAGGAACGGGCATGTGTAGAGTTGCATGAAATGGACGCCTACGTATTTGATCTTGTGAAGCCCTTGCAGGGTACAATTCTGCTGAAAGAGTACTTGATGAATGATGTACCGCAGCTTCTCTCTCACATGTGCTTTGATGTAGACTTTGCTTACGCTATTGAGGAGGATGAGTGGCGTAATCGCATGCTACTACTGTGGAGAATGCGACACCACCTCTTTGAGACGACACTTGAACAGGAGGAACCACGTACACGTGAAACACTTGAACAGAATTATTTCTACGATGCCGCTGAACAAATGGAGCTCATGGAAGATGAAAAGACAGTACGTGAAGTATTACAAAATGAGCGTATTCTCTTTCTACTACGTATCTTGATGAGGGAGGAACGTGAACATCGTGACATTATTGAACTGGAGTATGATAAAACTGTTCTTGAAATAACAGAAAGTGAATTCCGAGTAGTTCTCTACAGGACGTACAATACCACACTTGTAGATCCAATTTGTGTGCAATTCGCATGTGAACAGGCTGCAGTCATTGGGGAAGAGGAAAGCAGAGAACGGCAGGAAATTCTGAGAGTTTTAGAAGCAGAGAAGGTGAGCTCTGAGCACCACGATACTTCCAGCATTGCACAGAACGAAAATAGTGACGTTAATATCACTGTTGCTGAAACAATTTCCAAGGACAGTAATCAACGGCAATTGCAGGAAGAAGTGCAGGAACCCGAAGAGCCAGCTCATGAGGATAAGGAGGAAGAAGTAGAGGAACCCGAGGAACCCGCTCATGAGGATAAGGAGGAAGAACTGCAGGAACCCGAGGAACCCGCTCATGAGGATAAGGAGGAAGAAGT